AATGCATCTTCGCCTGTGTAGTCAAAAATCCTAGCACCGGACCTGAGCTAATGATAGATCTTGGATATTATTTTCCAAAACTTTAATACTAATACTATTTATAATTTTATTGTTCCCTCCCATCTTGTTCTTTAAAAAAAGACAAAAACTTTCGAAGATGACAATAATAAAACAGTTCTCTCCTAATTCCTTCCAGTTTGGGTAATGAATATTCCATAATAAATAAGAAAGGTCTTTTATTTGAGTCTGATAGCTCTCTATTTGATACTAGCATTCATCAACAGCCACTGGAATTTGCATCAAATAAATGTGGCTAATAATATTTGCATAATAATAATTTTTGAAAATAGGCATACCGAGCCCCCCCTCTTTTACTTTATATGCCATATCTGATTATTAATACGAGTCTTTTTTCCATTGCCAAATAAATCTGGAGATACTCGTCTGAGCCACAGTCAGCCAGCTATCCAGTATTTGAATGGGGAGGTGTCTAAATATGTATAGCCATTTTGGGATGATATCAGCCTTTATCGCATTAATCCTACCGATCCACGACAGAAACATAGTATTCCATCCTTTAAGTGTATAATTCATCTCTTTTAATAAGGCCATAAAATTTATTTCCATTGCGTGGGGTAGGCATAAGGCTATCCTAACTATAAGATAAGACTAGGGAGTAATGAAAGTATTTAGAAGATTGGGCAGACTAGATGGGCCAAATGGTTCTTATCTGCCGTCACATTCTATGTTTCTATGTTTCATTATATTATTAACGTCGGGTGAAATTTTAATTCCCAAATATATAAATTCTGTATCTGTCCATACAAAATCATAACTTTGTTGCAGTCGTACTTTAGAGGACTCATCCAAGTTAATACCCATAATTACAGTTTTATCTGTATTTAATTTGTAATTAGAAAATATTGAATATGCATTAATCACTTCCATCAGAGCAGTCAGGGATTTTTGAGAATCCGTAAGTGTCACCAAGATGTCATCAGCATACATACTAATCTTTATTTCTCCCTTAGAGATAGGGTAACCATATATATTATTGCTCTCTCTTATCTTAATTGCTAATATTTCTATTGTTAGAATGTAAAGTAATGGTGACAGTGGGCAGCCTTGTCTAGTCCCATTACCAAGGGCAAACCAGTCAGCACAAATATGTTGACCAATGGTTCTAGCTATAGGAGTGCTATATAAAGCTTTAACTGCCTTACAAAACTGTTCTCCAAAACCATATAATTTTAGAATCTGCAACAAAAAGCCCCAATCCACTCGATCAAAAGCCTTTTCTGCATCTAAAGCAAGGATGACTAGTTTTTTTTGTTCTTTTTTAGCCATATCTAGGATATCAATTATTTTCCTGATGTTATTTACTGAACTACGTCCAGGAACAAATCCCAATTGGTCTTTAGAAACAACTGATTCAATAATTTTTTTAGGTCTGGCAGCAATAATGGATGAAAAAATCTTTGCGTCTGTATTAATTAAAGTTATCGGCCTATAATTTTTTACATATGAAGGTTCTTTATTCTGTTTAGGGATGGGAAGAATATTAGCAGCAAGAAATTCAGCAGGACATTTCGCCAGCCTAATAAAGTCATTAAAAGCTTGTGTCATAGCATGAAGTTGTATTGGGGAGGGGGGTGATGACGTGACACGTGATTGCGCACGCTCCCGCGGTCGAGAGGCTCTGGTGTGAGGAGGAGATGCAGCGTTCAGCAAATAAGAACAGCTGAGTGCTGAGAGCTAATGCTGCTGAATGAAGATACAAGCGGTATGCTGTTTGTTGCTTTCTGGCTAATGAATGTCGAACTGCTCAAGGTATAACAGGGGAGCCTGTAAGCCATATATACTTGCTGTACATCTGTACATCTGCCGTACATGTTACTGAGGCTATAAGGACCCTGGACTTTTGGGGATATATATTGCTTTGCTTTAACGCTTAATTTTTGAGGCGAATATCAGATGTGGGGATTGAAGACTGCTGAAACTTGGAGTTAAAGGATGCAGCGTCCAGCACATAAGAACAGCTGAGTGTTGAGAGTTAATGCTGCTGAATGATAAAGACACAAGCGGTTTGCTGTTTTTTGGCTATTGAATGCCGAACTGCTCAAGGTATAATAGGGGAGTTTGTAAGCTACATATATTTGCTTTATATCTGCTGTATATGTTCCTGAGGCTATAAGGACTCGGACTGCTGGGGACATATATTGCTTTATTGCCTAAATGCAGTAATGGTGTTCTGAACTTTTGAGACGATTATCAGCTGTGGGGATTGAAGACTGCTGAAACTTGGAGTTAAAACACAGCAGGAGAGCGAGCTGGTAGGAGGCAATGGCTTGCAACTAATTAGCAGTAACTTTGATACTGTTTACTATACGATGAACATTTTTCTGCTGTAAGAGAGATACAATTGTAACTGTTCTTCACTAGTGAGAGAGAATGAAAAAATTGCTGAGAGAGAGTTACAATTGCAACTGTTTCAAGGGTGAGACAGATTGACAGATATAAACTTTTTTTTTTTTTAAGATACCTACATTTAAATAAGGCTCTATCTATTGGAGGCAGTGGTGTATCCTGGTTTTGTGCTGCTCTAGGCAGGACAAAACTCAGGCGCCCCCCCCCTCCGCGACAGCCCCCCCCAACCATTCCCCCCACCCCGCCTTCTAAATACACACACACACACATTCACTGACAGATACCCATACACTCGCTAACAGAAACACACACACTAACAGACACACTCACTAACAAACACACTCACACAGTCAGATACACACTCACTAGCAGACACACACACTCACTGACACACAGTCAGACACACACATACACACTAACAGACAAACACAGTCAGACACACACACTAACAGACACACACTCACACTCACACAGTCAGACACACACTCACTGACACACACACACTTTGGGAATGGTGGGGGGGGTTCCCTCTCTCCCTGGTGGTCCAGTGGCTGCTGGGCTGGGCGGGCGGCTGGCGAGGGAGCACTTCCTCTGAGCGGTCTGCTCAGCTCCCTCACGCGCCGCACAGTGAGGCTGGGAGCCGGAATATGACGTCATATTCCGGCTCCCAGCCTCACTGTGCGGCGCGCGAGGGAGCTGAGCAGACCGCTCAGAGGAAGAGCTCCCCCGCCAGCCGCCTGCCCAGCCCAGCGCCCAGTGCCCGGCATGTCAGTTAGCTGCGAGGCATTTGCCCTGGGCATTTGGGGGTCGGCGTTTTTTGCCGCCCCCTGGAAAATGCCGCCCAAGGCAAATGCCTTGTTTGCCTCGCGGCTAATACGCCCCTGATTGGAGGGATCTGTTTTTGTGATCGTAATCAAGTACTTTTTAGTCAATATTACTCTCAGTACTCTCAGTACTCTGAGTACTAGACAGAGGTGTTGCCTTAAAGGAGAATAGAAGGGCAAGGAAAGTATGTCTCCCAAAAGAGATAAGGATAAAGATAAAGCAACAACGGCTAATATGGATAAAAATAAAAATATAAATTCCTTCTATTCACCTAAATCTCAAGAGCGATCACTAATTAAAAGATCATCTCTGGGAGATGGCAGAGAATCAGCCTCATTAATTCCAGAATCCTTTTCGGCAACTCCCCAATATACCAGCCAACAAACTCTTAATGAAGCTTTGGAAGCTCTATATCTGAAATTAAAACAAGATCTGGAAGATAATTCCAATATATTAAGGCTGGAAATAGCTAATATATCCTCTATACTGCAAAATCAGGCAGATACTCTCGAGAAAATCCAAACATCTAATGAAGATTTAACCTTAAAATACAATCAATTGGAAGAGAAGATTAAAGCATTAGAGACAAAGGTTACCGATCTGGAAGATAGATCTCGAAGGAATAATATAAAATTGAGAGGAGTTCCTGAATCTATTAATTATGATCAACTAGACCAATTTTTAAAATCCTTCTTTCAAAATCTAATGCCTGAATTGTCACTTGGAGAATTCCCATTTGAGCGATACCATAGGCTACACAGACCAAAGAACTTGTCGGCAGACATACCTAGGGACATTATTGTTTGTTTTTCTAACAACTATATTAGAAATTTAATTATGCAGTCGGTACAAAAAAATGTTATAACAGATCCTCAATTTAAAGATATTAAGTTATGTTCAGATCTATCTTTGACGACCCTGTTGGCAAGGAAAAAATTTGCCGTCCAGACCAGCATTCTGAGGAAGCATGGAATTAAATATAGATGGAGTTTCCCTACAGCATTATTGGTATCCTTTCAAAATCAACAATTTCTTCTTAAAGAAGCCTCGGCGGCCCAAGAAAAAATCCAATTTTGGAATTTACAGTAGTTATCTCCTTGAGTTGACCAAATTAA